TGAGCTTTTCAATCTACAGCAGCTCTCACACAGAGAATAATCATATATGAGTCCAGATTTATCTGTACAATCCTCTGAGTTTATTTTAATTAATGGGAACCACCCTGGTGAAGAATGCCAGGATGTGGAGATTTGGGTTCAGATCTCAGGAGAGCAGTGGAGTTTATTTATTAAATAAAAGTTAAAGATATGATTTTTGTGCAACCACAATAATACACAAACTGAATAATTAAAAATCAAAAATTGTGCACACACAAATGTACAAACAAAGTTTGACTAATGCAGAATGTATTATTTAATGCACAAACATTTTAATCTTTGGCACTGAAGTTCTTCTTCACAGAAGATGAAGATAAATGTATGTTTACATTCACACACACACATATTTTATATTTTACAGATTCAAAATGGACGCTGCAGGATTTAAACCACAGAGCCATGCTAGCAGGGCTGTGTAACGCTGATGCCGCTGTATGATGTCACCAGGCCTGAGCCTAAACCTGTGGCATCAATTACTAAAAAAAGACCCGCCCCAAGATGAGGCTTAATCTGAAAGTCCCCATTAGAGGAGGCCATCAAACATCTCCGATGATCTCAGCATGCGCCCATGATTCATGACGTGAGGGTGGATTAGCAGACACTGAACCAATGAGGATGAGGCTTGTGGCTTAGAGCTGCAGTGTAGTAACTAGGCTTCATTACCTGAGCCTGAGTGGAGAGGCAAACATTTCTCAAGTGTTTTAACGTCTTAAGCAGACAAGCAGCCAACTGGCACTAGACCAGGCCACTAGACCCATTAAGCCCATCGTACGATATCAGTTTTCTCATTGAAAGCTCAAACTTTGGGGGTCTTTTAGTGGGTCTAACATGCACAAACAGGGGACTGCAGAACTCATTCTTTGTATCAGTTGACCTTGACATTGTCAGAGATTTGTTCAGCAAATGTCATTACCCATTAGGCTTCCAACCTGGCTTTAAAGACATTTGTATTATTACACAATTGCATAATAGTGTAGCTTTGACATAAGAGATTAGAAAGACATCCTTGTGTCATCAGGATTTCACTTTAAAGAACAAGATTCAGCCTTTTTGTTTGCTCCATTCATTCCATTCAGATAAGCAAGGGCCTGTCATGGACCAGGCAACAGTTCTAGGCAGCTGCCTCTTAAACGCCCTTCCAGTATTTTCAGAATTGATGGAAATCCGCTTGTAAATGCAATGTTCAATACCAGTAACAGGTTTTGGGTGCTCATGTACTCCTAACTGTAACCCTAAAATTACTCTGATACCGCTTTACGTCAGCATGACATTATGTATCCTCTCATAAGTTCAGCAGGTAGACAGAGGAGAAGCAACGTCAGCAGTTTGGAGATATTCTAAGCCTATTTTACAATAATAGCAACATTTAATTTGTTACAGTCAAAATGTGAGGAGCATCTGATGAACCGTAATGGTATTATAAAGTACTCATATCGGTACTCTGTATCAGCAAGTACCCAAATGTAAATACTTGTACTTTTATTTGGTCTGGAAATAGTGAGATTGGTGCACTCTTATTTATTTTTTCCAGTTAACTGAACTGAAGTTGGTTAATTTTAGTTGAGTTCATAAGTTGTAAAACCAACAACCCACTAATATAAACTTGAGAACATAAGTTAATACACTTTAGATATTACAGTAAGTTGATTTAACAAATGTTTAGCCAAAACCGTTAAAGAAAGATTTCCTTTCCATTTTCATTTTCACAGTCAAAGAATGTACTAGCTGCTAATGTTGGAGCCACATCATACCCCATCTGATAAAATATAAGTGGACGCAGGGACTTCAAGACTTTATGGTGGTTCGCAGTTTCCATCATGTGAGTTCTCTGGAGTGCATGCTGGGAAGTCTGATAGGATGCTGATCATGTCTTTTTATTTAAAAACCTACAATTGTGTCAACTCTGTTTATGTGTATAAGTTCTAAAGCAGTCTGAAAATACGTTATGCTGATGATAATAATAATAATAATAATAATAATAATAATAATACATTTTATTTATAATGCCCTTTTCATCAGAGGATCTCAAAGTG